ACTCTGTTAAGTAAAGCGAAGATCATTTGTAGTTGTTGCACAGAAAATACTGTGGAGGATGGTGATAAGACATCCATGACCCATTTTAAAACACAGCTACAGTTTTGAACTTTATTGAGTTTTGTCAAAATTAAACCTCAAAGGTAGTTTATATGACTTGTGAACTGCTCTGAACTGACTTGAGCTAAATAATGACACTATTGTCTTTTAGAGCTGCTTTACAACAGAATCTGAATTGTCTCCATTGTATATCCAATCTGAATTGTATAAAGCGCTATAGAAGTAAAGGTCACCTGACTTGAATATTTCATGTTTTCTGAAGACATACACTCTTAAAAATAAAGGTGCTTCAAAAAGTTCTTCAAGCCTGAATTGTCTCCATTGTATATCCAATCTGAATTGTATAAAGCGCTATAGAAGTAAACGTCACCTGACTTGAATATTTCATGTTTTCTGAAGACATACACTCTTAAAAATAAAGGTGCTTCAAAAGGTTCTTCAAGTGATGCCATAGAAGAACCATTTTTGGTTCCACAAAGAACCATTCAGTCAAAGGTTCTTTAAAGAACCATCTTTTTCTTACCTTTTTATAATCTGAAGAACCTTATTTCGCCACAAAGAACCTTTTGTGAAACAGAAAGGTTCTTCAGATGTTAAAGGTTCTTTATGGAACCATTTAGACAAAACGGTTCTTCTATGGCATCGTGAAGCACCTTTATTTTTAAGAGTGTATCATGATAAACAAGCCAAACATTTTGTTCTTTGTAGCTTGACAAACATGGTCACGATGAACTGTTGTTGTATGTAAAAAAAAAAAAAAAGATCTTTATCCCTTCAAAGTCCAGACTGTCGTATATTTTTACACGACCAAAGGTCTCTGTTTTGGCATGTGGGAAAAGTCCAATCTGAAAGGTCTATCTAAAGTTTTGAATAATGAATGAATGACGGTTTCATTATAACTAAACAGACTCCAAACACAGTTGCACCTTTTCTTTATTTGCACACACAGCAACGAACGAATCACAGTGTGCTGCTTCTATTATATTCTGTTCAGTTTTTGTGCTGTTCACATCAAGGGTCAGGTGGAAATAAAGCAGCAACACATCTTTATCTCTCTGTGACCTTCTCCTGAGGGGGCGGAAAATTCTATCTCAAAGTGGAAATAGAGAGAACATCTATCTATTGCTTATTTATTCATCCATCACATCTTTTGTAATTCGTGTATTCCATTCATATATACATGAGTTATCTGACTGGTTTTATTACATGTTATTAATCATACTAAATATCTTAATAATAGAGTTTCACCAGTTCACATTTGAATACAATATTTGAGTGAGATATAGGTAAATACATTTAGCTTAATGTCCATGATCAATAAAAAATGTATTTTAAATCTATTGCTACAAATTATAGTGTGAATCACAATATAATTATTTTATTAAAAGTAATTTTAATAATGAATAATTCTAATGAAGGTTCTGTTACACATAAATGATATTGATTGTCCTAAGACAACTTGGTATAATATATGAATAAAGTGTTTTATCATGTAACCTGCTGAAGAAACCTTTTTTTGTTGCTGAAGGGTGAATGGTGCTTAGTGAGAGCTCCATAGATACTTGCATTTACATTTACTTGTTTATTCACTTTCATTGCCATGCTGCAAACAAATGTCTGGTTCCACACAATACACTGCTCAACCTTGGATCAACTGTGTCCACTATTACCATCACATTCATATTTGAGTACAATTACTGACTTGCATAAATAAATGATTATTAGAGATTAAGGATGTCTACGAAGTATATGTATGCAATGAATATAATGTTAAACATTCAGTATTAACGCATATATATATATATATATACAGTGCTGTGAAAAGGTTTTTACCCCCTTCCTGTTTTTTTTTTTTTTGCATATTTGTCACACTTAAAAGATTCAAATCTTCAAACAAATTTTAATATTAGACAAAGATAATGCAAATAAATACAAAATGCAGTTTTTAAATAATGATTTCATTTATTAAGGAAAAAAAGCTGTCCAAACCTCCCTGGCCCTATGTGAAAAATGAATTGCCCCCTCCTGTTAAATCATGAAAGAACTGTGATTAACCACATTATTTTAGAAAGCTGAGGTAAATTTCACTTGCCAAACCTAGGCCTGATTACTGCCAGACCTGTTGAATCAAGAAATCACTTAAATAGAACCTGTCTGACAAAGTGAAGCATGCTTAAAGAGCAACACATGCCGTGATTTAAAGAAATTCAAGAACAGATGAGAAAAAAAATAGTTGACATGTATCTGGAGAGGGTCATAAAGCCATTTCTAAGGCTTTGGGACTCCAGCGAACCACGGTCAGAGCCATTGGTTTCTGGTCTCCAAATGGAAGTGTGGATTCAAATCCCACTTTTGACAAAGGCTCTTTTAGAATTGGACGCTATGTTAAGACCGTAAACATTATACTTTCAATTGTTTATTTTGCCGTCTGACCAATGCACCTTTCCTTTTGCCATCTGATCAATTGCATTCATTAAAAAGTATTCCTCACATCTTTATGCATAATTGTATGAATAACCGAGCGGTCTAAGACATCAGACTTTTACAGAATATTACTTGAGTAAAAGTCTTAAAGTATGTGATATTTATTGTACTTAAGTATTGAAAGTAAAAGTACAAGTAAATGCAAAATGGAAAAGAAGCAAATAAATATATATCAAAAAAATGTTCATACACAGATTGAGTAGCAAGATTGTGTACAGTTTTAACTCTTTCTTCCATTTTGTATTTTTGGGTAAGAATGAGAAGCGCTTAATCCGGTACTTAGTGTCTTTCATTCCAACGTAAGAAAACATTTCTGGAATCTGCATCTGAAATAGCATTTAGATGTATTTACACAGTTTATGTATCTCAAAGGGGACATGGATGCATTTAACCTGCAGTTACAGATGGATAAATAATGTTTTGTTTTTAACATAAAACCTTGAATACTGATATTTTAAATAATTTAAAACATCAACAAAATAGTCGAAATGTGAAATTAAAACCACCAGTAGGTGGCAGCAAGTGACTGTTAATGTCATTGAGATTCAACCTATTCATTCAAATGACTGATTCATTCAGAAACAAAGCATTATGCTGCGTCTCAGTGTGCCTACTTATACTACGCCCTTAAAGTATGTACTCTTTTGGTGAAGAAAAAGTACACGCTTTTGAGTGTGTAGTAGAAGAGTAGGCAAGCTTTGGGACATACTATCACGCCACACAACTGCCTCTTTAACGGACGTTCTGTCGCATAGATACACGCGCCCTGTCACTGTAAACTGGCCTGTCAATCATCTTGTCACATTTAACATCCTCCACATTGCATTTCATTTAACTTCCTACCGTATTGGAGAGAAAAGAAGTAGCACATTAATCTGCCAGTCGCGGGTCTTTCATGCCGGGAACCACAATGATGCATTTAAAAGTTAAGGACCAAACGGATGTTTATAAAAGTTTACATTGCTGTTGCAGATGAAATATAACACAGATAACATTAAATAAATATTTTTTACCAGGTTAAATGTTGAATATTAGTAACTCAAACCCCTTTTTCTGATGGTGCTTTCAAGAATGACAGTGAACATTATAGTTTCTATTGTTTATTTTGTGATCTGACTAAATGCCAATGATAGAATTGTCCTTGACATCCTTGTGTCCACGAGTCAGCATGGCCGTGCGGTCTAAGGAGCCAGACTCGCCGCATTTACGGTTTCTCAGTTGTTGAGATTTCTGGTCTCCAACTGGAGGCGTTAGTTCAAATCTCTCTTCCGAGAAAGGCTCTTTTAGAATTTGACATTGGATGTGGACTCAGATGTCAACTTTTGGTTGAAAGTAAAATCCCCCAACCTTAGTTTGATGACGTTCCAACTTCATTAAATAACTCCAAAAACAGCATTACCAGCTTCACTTATTATAAACCAGATTTACTTTATTTCTATCAGACATTTACAAAAGGTCTTATTGAGATTAACAGTGGTTTAGATGTTGATGTCTGTTTGAAAGTAGTAGTTTGCTTTTGTCACCATGATGGTGATAAGTGTTTAAGTGCTAAGTGCTTTAGTTGGGCAATTTGATTAGACTTTTTGATGTTTTTCTCTAGCTGTTGTAGCTATTTTTAGTATGGCAAAAACAGCGAGAGGACATGTGATTAAATGATGTTTGTTACTTGCTGATGATTAAGATATCATCACATAACATTCTGACTATCTGATTTCATCTAGTCTAATCTATGGTATTAGTTGCACATTATTTATGATAGAAACTCAATGGTTATACAGATCAAGATCCAAGATTTTAATTAGATAATTTCAAGAATGAAAAAAAACCTTCTGTCACACAAACATCAAGAATCAGTGTATGAATCTCAACAATGGTGCTTCATGCTGCAATGTTTTCTGGGTGCATCATACAAAACTCATGCAGGGTTCCCAGAATGCATTGCGACATGAAGCATGTCACCATTGTTGAGGTGCATACACTGATTCTTGATGTCTGTGTGTGTCTACGCATTCAGCAGTTCAAAGTGATATGTGAACAATGTGTTTAAAAAATAAAAATAAAAAATAAATTGCAGATAGAAATACAGATTATCTGATTAAATCATTGCTGGACCTTATTCTGTTGAAACACGCTACTACAGTCATTAATATGAAATTAATAGCATAGCTTAGACTCTAGATTAGATCACTGAATGATGATATCTTTATTATCAGCAAGTAGCCAACATCATCTCATCACATTTTCTCTTGCTGTTTTTGTCATAAACACAGTTACAGCAGCTAAGAACATCAAATTGAAAAAGCCCAAAGAATAAGTGGCTGCCACAGTGGGCAGGTTTGGCCCAGGTCAAGCGGAACCGCTCTCTCCTCCCATTTGTCCTCCCTGGTCCTCCATTGTTCTCAGGCTCATTAGTTCCTGCTGAAGATGCCAGTCAAGAGAACCCAGTGTTCATTTAAAACTGGATCGCAAGCAGCATGCTGAAACTCCTCTCAAAGAGTCCGGTTTGGGAACAGGACCTTCGGGATAAACCGTGTGAGACTCTGGACGTGGGCTGCGCTGTTGAAAGAGTGCTCAGGATGAGGAGGAGAGGAAGTTATGATGGCACTACTGCTCCCATACAGCCAGTGAGTAGCTCTGAGGGTGGGGATAGCCAATTTCTTGCATTGCTTTTAAAGTTACAAATAAAAATAGGTATGATTCCATTTTTCTAATGTTGTAATATGGATGTATAAACAGGCTAATTGAGAGAGCTTCACATTTACAGTAATATGGAATCTTTCTTGTTTATAAATAATACTAAATATTTTGTGTCAATTATATTAACTTTAAAATAAAATAATACAGTTTTAGCAGATATTTGTGCCATGTTTGTAAATTATGTGGACTCAAGTTGGATTGAGAGGCTTATTTGGCCAGTGTTTGAAATAACTATGACAAGTATGCACTTACTGGCATGCCAATATTTTTATTATTATTTATTTGTAATTTGTATTTATTTATTTAAAACATTTACCTTCACTACAGTGTGACTATATCAGAAAGAGACTATTCAGAGACTACAGCTTCTCTCTCAAGTTTCACATTCAGAATTATATGGATAGAATATTACACAAAAATACAAATTACAGAATTTTTTGGTAACACTTTATTTTAAGGTGTCCTTGTAACATGCTACATGTACTTTTTATTATGCTTAATTACATGCAAGTGACCCTAAGCCAAACCCTAACCATATAGTAAGTACATGTAGTTAATTAATATTACTCAGTACTTAAATGTACCCCAAAACAAAATCAAGACTTTGTAAAAGAGCATAATAGGACCCCTTTATACTGGCCTTAGTTACTATGGAAATGGGAACTCAGCTGGCCATTTCCTGTCTTAAGTTACCTAATTTTGTTTGAATGAGCTGTTATGGATTCTGGTAGCTTTGACAGGTCATACTCTTATTTACGTATGCTTTACAGAAGCCATAGAATTTCAGTGAATACAATCTGATGTTGTATGTCTGTATAGCATACACTCTAAAAAAATGGTGCTATATAGCACTAAAAGCGGTTCTTTGGCTTGTAATCATAGGGGAACCACGTTTAGTGCTATTTAACATCTATTTTTATAGGTGCTATATAGCACCTTTGTCAAATGGTGCCATGTAGAACCATACGAGGTGCCACATAACACTTTTTCTCAGCAATGGTGCACCAGTCATAACTCATCCATGGCTCCCAGCATGCATTGCGACATGAATTAATTATGCAGCTGCATTGTCTTAGTATTTTCTTTTATTCTTACTATTTGCTTTTATTTTTGTTGTGACTTTTTACTGCCGTTTTGTGATGTTCAAAAATCATATCAAAATGAGCCGAATATTTTGTCACCATCGCTGAGATTCACATGCTGATTCTTCATGTCTATGAGTGACAGAATTGAAACCTCTTTAGAACCCATAATTCTAAAAGTGGTTTATACAATTTTCTCATATTGTCACATAAAATCGTAGAACTGCAATAATAAAAAGCTCAGATTTTGATAAAATGCAACCAAAGATTCACACACATGAAACGATTTTACCATAAGTTCCTTGCCATCACATACGTGCTTTATAAACATTATTGTAACAGCCAAAGAAAACTTATTTTAACTTAGAATTAAAGTCAAGGGTCAAGAGGCAACTAAAGCATCTAAACCTTAATTCTCAATAAAGAACTTCTGTTTTAGATACTCCAGAAATAAAGTCTAACTGGTTAGTAATGTGTGAAGTTGGTGTTGCTGTTTGTGGAGAGGTCCTTTTTTTCTGAGGTCAAAGGTCTCATGTGGGGGCCCTGGAATATTTCCTTATGGGGGCCTTGGGGGTAAAAAACATTACATCTTCAAGAAATAGACTGTATTTTAATGTTGTTTTAACCCTTTCCCCAACTAAACTAAGAGACTTATGGTGCTTTTCCACTGCGTGGTACGACTCAGCTCGGCACGGCTCAGTACGGCACGGCACAGTACGGCACGGCTCAGTTTGCGTTTCCACTGCAGTTCAGTACCGCTTTAGAGTGGGCGGGATTATTCACATATCGTTATAGTTGCGCCGCCTCTACTGCCGCGACTCCTAAAAAAAACCTTTTTCATTCCGTGTCGCCCCATCAAGCTCTCGCTGGATCTGCTCCTCTGCTATCAACGAGAAGAACGTCTGTTCTTCCGCAACAGACAACAAAACTTTTTGGTTGTTCAAAAAAGGTGCGCTGCGTTCGATCCTTCGCTGGCTGTGCTGATTTAAATCTAGCGGTTCTGTTG